ATGAAAAGCCTCACACCTCTTTTGGTTCACCATCTCTGCTCCCTACATCTTGTTCAAGATGTGAGCTCTCAGCTCCTGCTTCTACCAATGTGCCCACCCCTTGCTACCACACCCTCCCTCTGCCATCATGGACCCTTATCCCTCTGGAACCATAAATCAAAATAAATTCTCTCTTCCCTAAGTTCTCTTTGGTCACAGTGTTTTATCACAGCATAGAGAAGTTACTAAGAGAGATGCTAAACTTCTTCTACAGTAAAATTAAGCTCCAAGTTGCCTTTACAATTTCAGTTATGACTTACAATTTTTATCATTCAGTTTTGTTAAAAATTATTTACCCATAAGTTTAAAAGGCATGGTACTAAGAAGAATCCTATGACAATTGTAATCTTCAATACACAAGAAGCATTTACTGCATTGCATTAAGAGAGGAACCTTTCTCTCTGGCTGTTTCCATGTGCAAGTCCTAGACTGACTTTTCTCTCTAGACATTTTCCCTATTCTTTCTTAATGATTACATCAGGGGTCCCCAGAGCCTCTGTGGTAAAAGGAACAAAGCAAAGGAAAAGAGTAATTTGGAGCTATCAAATGCAAAGGGAAAAAGAGTTATCTCTTGGCAACAAAACCATTCATGTTCCTAGTGTTCTCACTCTCATATCTTCATGAATTCTAACACCAGCATAAATTGGTCTTTCAAAGTCATCATTATTAGCCCCTTGGTAGCATTTGCCTACTTTGTCAGGTTAAAAGCAGTTCATACTTTATTAGATTGCTTATGCTGTAGTACAACACCCTTTGCATGAGTGAAGACGGTTTCATATTAATAGTATTTCACTTAGTCTTCATTTGCTATTAGTCTATTTAATACTGCTTGGTGAATAACTCTGCTTTATTTACAGACACAAGCAATCATTTGTACAGTGCCTCTCAGTTTAAATAGGCTAACACGTCTATTTTATTTTTATTTCAACAATTGGTCTAAAGATGACAATAGATGGCATTAGCATTCTTCAGCATTTTTGTGGCTTTTAAAAAGTAGTCCTTGTAAATGAAATCTTGTGTTTGAGAAAATAAACCAACATATTCAAGCCAAGGATATCTACCAAGCATCTCTACATTTAATGCATATGTTTCAAAAATGTAGTTATTTCTCTTCCTTTTCTCTGACGTCTAGTAAAGCCTATGAAGACAGGTATTGCTCCCATTGCCTTTTCTTATGCATTAATAAAACAGACAATCGATATTACAGCTTGTTTGCTGATATTTTGCTCTTCTGTTTCTATGCTGATAAGTCCTTAAATTTTAGATTCCGGAAAAATGAAGGGGGCTGAAGTTTGACTTACATTCACAATGACACTGTTGTGCATCAGAATCAAGTACTTAAACTTGGACATTTATTTTTAGGCATGGGAGCAATGTTAGGGAGTAAACCTATGGCCTCACACATGCTAAGCAAGCACTGTATCAATAAGTAATATTCCAAGCCAACATTTATTTATTTTATTTTTAGACAAAGTCTCAATGTAGCCCAAGGTGAATTGGAACCTATTATATCGTCCATTCTGGGCTTGAACTCACAACCCTCCAGTTCCCTTTACAGTATGGGGATTACAAGAGTGCAGCACCACTCCTAGGTCAACACTTACTTGCTGAGGTGATGAAACCAGTTTCCTATGTTAGCAAAAAATATCTAGAAATATTATAAAAGCATGTTGAATACTATATGATTTGGTGATATATTATGATTTAATAAAGCTTGCCTGAGGTTCAGAATTCAAGTTAGCTACAAGTCATAGAGCTAGGCAGTAATGGCATACACCTTTAATCCCAGTACTTGGGAGACAGAAGCAGATTGACCTTTGTTGGTTCAAGGCCACAATGAGCTACTTGAAATTGATCCGGTCTAAAAGAGAAACAGCTCACTCGAAAGTGACCTCAGCACTTGTGATCACACACCTTTAATCCCAGCACTAGGGAGGTAGAGATGGGAATGATATGACGGGGCAGAGAGAAGAATTTAAGGTGGGAGGAAACAGTCTGGGTTCCTGAAACTTGGTGGAGGGCAATGCAGTTTGTAGATGCAATCAGAGGATACAATCGCCCTTCAGTCTGAGCATTAGTAGAGGTAAGAAATCCCTAGGGTTTGGCTGCTTTGTTTCTCTAATCTTTCAGCTTGAACACCAATATCTATTCATGCTACAATATAACTTTGTATAATTTCACAATGTAGAATTCAACTAAAAGTAGCTGGAATATATACACAAAGTACCAGAGTAATGTAAGTAGAACAATACAGAGTAAAGATGTGACTATGTTACAAAGCCATCTTCATCTCTTCTCAAATGTCATTAAAACTAGTCTATTATCCACCCCTGTTCCTTCTAAGGATTCAACATCTACCTTAGGAGTTGTGTTTTATAGAGTTTGGAGTACCTGTAAGTATGTATGTACATATATATGTGTGTTTGTTCTTCTTTCCATGTGTGTGATGTGCTGTATGATTATGTGTGCTTGTTTGTGCATGCATGAGGAGGTCCCTGGTTGACACTGAGAATGTTCCTCAATTGCTCTTCCACTGTATTCTTTGAGGAAGGGTCTCTCACTCAAACCCAGAGCTCATAAATTCAGATAGTCTAGTTAGCCAACCTGCTTTAAGAACCCTCCATCTTCACCATCCAGAGCTGGATTTGCAGACAGAAAACCATTCCCATGCGGAATTACAGACGGAATACCATTCCCATGTGACATTCAAATAGTTAAACTGCTCTAGCCCCTAAAACATGTATTTATAGGTCTCAATTATCTTCATTAATTCTATCAAACAGAGATAACCATTATTAGCCTTTTTAGTTTATATTCTTCTAGTCTGTTTTAAGTAAGTCTGTACAAGCTTATTGCAGATGTGCTGTTCTTTATTTTTCCCAAGTACTTATTTTGGAACTTGATGATAAAGGGTCAACTGCATAGTTCTTTAGTGATGATGTCAACTTTTTGGTGGTGAGATAATATTTTCTTATAGAATTTAGCCATAATTTAGGAATTTTATGTGGGTGTTATGTATGTGACTGTGATACAGGTGTGAGTTCAGGTTCACACAGGTCCGAGGACAACTTACTGGATTTTTTTCTCTTCCCCTGTACTGTCAGATATGGGGACAGAACTTGGGTCTTCAGGCTTGTATCACTAGCATTTTTACTTGCTGAGTCATCTCCCTGGCCCCTCACCATAATGCAATCAATCTTCTGTCATGGGGTACTTAAAACATTTTCTATATATTTCATTACTACATATTTTAGGACCCTCGATATAAACCTTTAAACAAACTCTTCTTAAATTTAATCATGTACACTATTCATATATCATTAATAAGGGCTCATGAATTTTGATTCTAAACTTCTTAGGATTTCAGCCCTTGTTGATAAAATTGAGTTGGATCCTTGCTCTAACATATTTCAGTTCCATACATATTAGATCTATAATAACTGGTGAGGTCATTTTAACACTTAGAACCATGAGGCATGTAATTCACAGCTTCCATTTGAGTACAGATGGTGGAGGAAGGACAATCACAGGATCATACAGACACATTATCTTTCTGGAATATCAGTTTTATTTCAATATTTGGGGCAATCAAGCTTAGATTTTTCTCATTAAATGCAAGTACATTAGAAAAATTCCTATTTCTCGGTGTGATCCTTCAGCTCTGCTCGCAGAAAGAAGTCAGGGCTACTCCCCAGCGCTGCTAACAGAAGGATGGAGGGTTCTGATGAGAAGAGACAGACTTGACAGTTATCTGAAGTCATTGGAGGATTGTATCATATTACTAAAAAAAAAAATCTAAGGTGTGTGTGTGTGTGTGTGTGTTCCCAGAGGTCAGAAGAGGATTGTTGGGTTCTCTGTGAGTGCTAGAAACTAAAAAGAACTCTTAGTAGTTGCTGAGCTACCTCTCCAGCCCTTAGTATCATACGCTTCAACAGGACTCTTGAGATTATATTTGGCCCAGCGATCTTCACACATCATCCTAGAACTTGTCAGAGAGTAAAGTTAAGTTGATTTTACTGTGTTGTAAACAGGTTCTTGCTTTCTACAGTTTGGTAGACTTTCTCTTGCTTCTTGACCAGGACAACAACCAAACATAGCTTGCTTTTGGCTTTTAGAGATCCAAGTTTCAGATAGTCTAGCCAGTCAAAGATGACCTTGAATTTAACATCCTACTGCTTCTACCACCCAAAGGCTGGGATCACAGCCACAGCTGTGCACCACCTTGCCAGGCAAATATTTTTAAAAAGATGCAGACTTCAAGGATGAGAGGAACACGCTTGGAACAGAAAAAGGAAGAAGAGGATGAGGAACAACTACCACCACTAGTGGGAGGCAGTCAGAGTTTTGTACTCAGAAAAGGCCAAAACAAAACACCCTGATATATAAAACTCAATTACAGCATTTTAAAATCCACATGGAACAGAGAGATCTAAAAAATGTATTTGTCGGGCAATAGATATCAGGAACAAATTGCCAGGGCCTTGTTTTTTTGTGGGTGTGTTTTGTTTTGATACTCCAAATTTACACATCACCAAACAGTGCGTAAATCACTAACAGTTGAGTCTCTTTTTCCCTAGATCTGGAGGATAATTTTTTTCCTTTACATCCTTTTTCTTTGCATAATGAATTACAAAAGCTCTAATTAAAAGGGCTACTTTAAATTCTAGAAACACAAAGTGGCACAGGGGTGCAAAAGGAGGTCAGCAACATGCCTCTTCCCGGGGTGTTCCCGCCGTCCGAAGGTCTCTGGGAAAAAGCCCTCCTGGCCCACGCCTGCTCGGAGAGGTGCGGGAGGGACCCTCCTTCGTCCACGCCAAGCGAATCAAAATTCAATCAAAGTCAAGAAGCACAGAGAGAGAGAGAGAGCCCAACTCAGCAGCAATGCAACCCTCCCTGACCCGGAAGTGCTCGGCGGCCTCGGCGAGGGCGCGCCTGAGCCGGCGCGCGCGCGCCCCCGCGGAACTCCCGCCGGCGGCTGGGTTCTCCCGGAGGTGCGCCCGATCGCGGCGGCCGCCAACATGGCCGAGACGAGCGAGGAGGTGGCGGTGCTGGTGCAGAGGGTGGTGAAGGACATCACCAACGCCTTCCGCAGGAACCCGCACATGTGAGTCGTGCGCCCTGCGCCGCCGGGGTCTTCGGGGGCGGGCCGGTGCCGGGCTCTGGTCCACTCGCGGCTGCCGCTCGGGGCCCACGCGCGCTTCCGACAGGCGGAGCGCGGCGGGGACTGTCGCGCCTGGCCAGCCGGCCGTTACTAGGGCGCATGGCGGGCCAGTGTTGGGAAGCGACCTCCGAGAGCCACGTCGGAGCGTGGAGTTTCCTGCCCTGCCGGGCGCGTCCTGGGAGTTGTGACAACTCTTCTCCTGGCCGCCCTCCGCCTGGGTGCGCTTCCTCCGCGGGCCACTGCTGTGGGTCTCTCTGTGCCTCGGAGGCGCCTCTTAGAGGGTTATAGAGACTGTAGAGGGTTCCCCACCCCATCAGATTCCCCGCACCCCCTTGCAGGTTACTAAAGGTGACAGGAGGCTGCTTTTGACTTTTCCACTCACTTGACACAAAATTGCAAAGCTAGTCGGATGTAACAGTTTTTGAAGGTGACCTGGTTGGATCTCTCGGAAAGCTGTTGCAAACTGGATACTTTTTATCAGAAGCGCGTCGGAAGTTACAGACAAGCATCTTAAGGCATTCTTACCCAGCATCGTTGCCCTCTATAAGTTCACTGAAGGATTGACACATATATCCTTCTCCTTTCTTTCCATTTACTTGTTGTTCTCTAGGAAGATACAAGATTTTATTCTTTCTGGCACTCTTTCTACCATTAAGAAGAAAGCTACAAAAGAGTTACCTACATCAGTATACAAAACAATCAGAAAAAAGCAAGAGTGTAGCCCATTTCCCATCCCTGGGGAAACAAACATGGAGTCTAGTTTTGTATTATTTTCTCTTTGATTATACAATTTTTTGTTTGTTTGTTTGTTTGGTTGGTTGATTGGTTGGTTTTTCGAGACAGAGTTTCTCTGTGGCTTTGGAGGCTGTCCTGGAACTAGCTCTTGTAGACTAGCTTGGTCTTGAACTCACAGAAATCCGCCTGCCTCTGCCTTCCGAGTGCTAGGATTAAAGGCGTGGGTCACCACCACCCGGCTCTACAATTTATTTTTAGTATCTTCAACTAGAACACTTGAATTATTTGTAAACATTCCAGCCTCCTTAGCTTTTCCGACTAAATGAAAAACCAAACGTACATCTTAACAAAGTGTTCTTTTTCTCCAAGGTGATGCCTGCTCCCTTGTGGCAATTAGGGGCTTAAAAGTGTACTACATTAAAGACAAAAGACTACTGGCCTCAAAACATACCTGCCAGCTCTGACAGCTTCTAAATCGTCTTCCTTTCCTTTTTGGACTGTTGACTTTTTTCGGAATGAATGTTTGGAGCGATTTCCTGGCAGTAGCCATAGTGGCTGTTGGGCTTTTTAAAGAATGCTTTGATGTCTTGTGTGTCAGTCTTTGAGGCCCTTTTTGAGAATTCCAACCACAGTGCAAAGAGACATATTCAAAAAACAAAACTCTTTTTGGTCAAATGAAGGGTTTATTTTTCATCATTGGTGGTTTTTGTTTTTCTCCTTTGAAAGAAATTGTAGAAAAGGTTTTAGAGGTCTAATACAGTAATCACTTTAGTGTCTGGTCTTTGAGGTAAACTAAAAATATTGTATTTGGTAAAACTAAGATTAGGATAATGGGTTATGCAGGTTGACTCAGTGCAGTATGGAGCAATGTGGAGCAGGTCCCTGTTTTTCTGGATCACATTTACCAAAACTCTTTTTAAAAGGCTTTGATGCTCTTCTCTTCATCCACTCAGTCTCATTAATACATACTTTATCAAAACTTATGATTTTAAGTATTTGGGTCATTTGAGATATGAAGGTTTGAGATAAGTCGGGCACTTGAAATAATGAGCTGTGTAAACTGTAAACATTTAAACAACTCAGTTCACTATTTACCATTTGTCAGCAGCTGTATTCCAGTGCACATTCCCTACAGTAGAGGTATCTTCTATGTGTTGTCTTTTTAAATGCCTTGTACATTGGACCTTTCAGAAGTGCTGACATGGGTTTGCTCAACCTAGCCTTTTTAGAACCAAAAATCTGTACTTCTAGATTTTAAAAAACAGATGTCTAATAACAGTATTATAAAAGTTTTTCAGCCGGGCATTGGTAGCACACGCCTTTAATCCCAGCACTCGGGAAGCATAGGCAGGTGAGTTCGAGATCAGCCTGGTCTACAAGAGTTAGTTCCAGGACAGCTTCCAAAGCCACAGAGAAGCCCTGTCTCGAACACCCCCCCCCACCCAAAACAAGTTTTTCATTATTTGACCTTTGTTTTCCCTTTTTCTCCAATGTGAGATCAATTGCCAGTTTATGTTACCATCTACTCTCTTGACTATATTAACTCGTTTCTGTGGAACTATCTTCCTGGAGTCAAAGGTGCAATAAGAGCTAGGAATGTTTTTTTTTTTTTTTATCAGGTATGGGTTGTTTCCCCGAGGCTCCATGTCGTCTTGATTTTGTAGGGCTAATGAGAATTCAGAGCACTAGCATTAACCGAAGTCCCTTCACTCCTTGCCAGAGCACTTTTGCCAGAACACTTTACAAAGTAGAAAACACAATGCAGATATTGTTTGGTAGGAAACTGCGAATCTTATTGGGTTCCTTGCAACTAGTAGTTTAACTCAGGAATATTTATTACCATCAAATATAGACTGTGCCTTCATGTAGAAGACAGCTGTCCACAGCCTAATTAAGTCATCACATCGCAACTTGGTATTTTTTTTATTGAATATCATTGATTTGAGGAGCAGTAGGTACCAAGGTACCATATTCACAATATGGGACAAGAAGTTCAAAATATAGCTTGTACTGAAGCCAAATTTCTGGTATTATTGAATTATACATCTGTTATATTAGCCATGTGTAGCTGTTGACTGCTTGGAATGTACTTAATGTTAATGAGAACTGAACTTTTGATTTAAAGCATAATTATCATATAAGAAGTGAGTACTATGTTGTATAGTGTGGGTTTAGTGGAGATCTAAGATTTAACAGTAAATTAATCCTACAATATAGTTCTTAGTGATGATGTGTTAGCAGTATTGTAAGGGCTGTCTAGAAGAGAAGGGAGGCTGAGTGTATCCTAGGGGAGGCTGCTTTTAGCATGAACATCAAAATCTGGGTAGGACTTACAGTGTTAGAAGAAACTGGGATCAGTACATTGATCAAAAGCAGCAAGATGTGATTGAAAAGATTCCACAGGAATGCGTTATAGAAGTCCTTGACTATCTGGTCTGTTGTTGCATTCAAATGTATAGCAAAAGAGCACTCCCATTTGACAGGCAAAATGTTAGTCTGGGGATAACCAACCGTACTGAGAGCTGAGCATATGAATTAGTGCACAGTTGAGAATGAATACCTATCCTTAATGGAACTTCAAACCAATCAACACACACTTATGAGAGGAGGCAGAAAGGGTAAGAAAGACATTATCAGCAGTGATACCTAGGAGACTATTGGAATTACAAGATCAAGATAGTCCTTCCAGAGGAACTAGCATTTGAATAGAGACACAATTGATTACACTTCTAATCAATATGAAGGCCCCACAGAAAATTGTTAATAAGGGGATAATACTGAAACACAGTTTCAAGCTGTCTGCAGGTTGAAGAATATCAAATCACAGAATTTATAATGGTCATGTACATGTGTTTTACTCAGTTAAATGATAGTATAGTTTTTAAATTTTTATTTAGAATTTGAATCCTGGATTTGAACCTTGTCATTTTGTTTGCAAGCCTGATAGGCTTAGATAAGACTATCTTATCTATAAGATAAGGCAAAGATTTTTACTGTAAGTTTTTGCATAGAATAAACATAGAATGTGGCAATAAACAGCAATGTGGTACAAAAAGTTAGTAGCCTTTAAAATCTTTGAGGAAGCCTATTAGGTCTCTGAAATACCATCAGTACCAGTCAAGTTTTAATTATTAATATACAAGTACCAGTTCCTGTATTTTATCAAGTTTACTTTTTGCTTATTCTAGAAAGAATTCCAGCATATAAAACAAAAATAACTATTCAATAAAGATATTTATAAAATTTCCTGAATCTGGGCCATTTTCTGTCCTGTTGTAACACTTTACAGAGTTCATGTTTAGTATTGGGGACAATGCATCCTGCCTAGAAGGGAACTTGGTTGACACAGCTTTTGGAGCAGAAAGTAAGCTGTAGATAAAAGTAAGTCGTAGATGACAGTTGCTGTTTCTACAACATACTGACCAGAGAAGCTGCTGCACATTGGAACAGAGCTGACATCTGTGTAATAGGAAACTTGAACTCCGTTGGACCCCACTGTGAAGACAGACATTCAAACACATGCACTATTGCCATGTGTGACCTGAGGTGAAGGTGCTGCTGCATTCCATGCTGTGTGTGGAATCATTGTTTGCTGCCCTTGACCTGGGTTTCTTTGTAAACCCCTGACCTTGGCCATACAAAGAATATTTTTCTGAGCAAATGGTTAAATACAGGCACTCTGGATTTCTAGAAACTTAAAAATATAGGGGGAAGGGGTTTTGTGGTAGTGAAAGGACTAATTGGAAATTATCTGATGCTCATAGTCATTGTAAGCATTTATCAATTATGTAGGGAATCTTAGATATTAATTTATACGTTTTGTCAAAAGTTTATGTACGATGTGATCTCACTTTCTGTAAAAATACTTGAGGAGGGCAAAAAGACATATACCCAAACTTTAGAAGCAGTAGAGACAGGCTTTCAGTTTTTATTTTTCCTGAGTTTTCTACTTTTTGAGTATGAAAGTGTGATTTAAACTGGAGGTCCAGATTCCTAAGATAACTGCTAGAAATATTAACTTCAGGTAATCTCCTTAAGCTCAATGGACCTCATCTGACAAAAGGAGGCACAGGAATGAATTTCTTCTTCATTTCATAATGACTTGGAATTCTAAATTGCCTGAAAAATTACACAGTAATCTAAAGGAATAGATACAGAAACCTAAATAGAAACTTTTGTTGTTCTGAAGCTTATGAACCACATAGCTT